TTAGAGGGCATTTGTTTAAGCGAATGGGCATTTGGTAAGTTCCCAGTTGAAGCGGCGGCAATACATCGCTTTATTTCATGACTGCGGCATGCTTCATTTCATGTCATCGTGTTATGCTTGTGACCGTCAACTGAATAATTAATTGTGCAATTCTTCTTAGGGTTATTTTCTAGAAATTTATAATACCTCTCTTGGTCTCGTGTTCTATATTTTAGGTATTATATCTGTATTATTCTTCGAGACGTGATCTCTGGACGCTTGGGAACGTTCAGTTAGTTGACAGGTGTCAAGCCTGTCAACGCGCCGGCAGTGGGTGTCGGGTGTCAAGCCTGTCAACGCGTGAAATTTATAATACCTCTTTTGGTCTCGTGCTTTATATTTTAGGTATTATATCTGTATTATTCTTCGATACGTGATCTCTGGACGCTTGGGAACGTTCAGTTAGCGGGTGTCGGTTGCCGCGTCTGCCAATTTTGAACTCTAGTTTGAGTCTCCGGAGCTTCTCATTGTTATTATAGTTTATATTTCAGTCTTCGGTATAACTTATAATCAGAAATATTACGAAGGATCTGTACATATTTGTATAATGTATCGTGGAGGTACGATGTATGGGCTGGTCAAAAATCTATCGTACAGGAAGCTTGTTTTATTGTACACCTTATCCAATAGTTAATGCACTCGAATGCCTGCTAGCAATGGAACTGGTACGAGGTTAGTTCTTAACATTAGTACGTCAATTAGTATTTTTCAGTTGTCTCAAGTAACTCTAATAAATGGCGCTGACCGCAGGGATGGGAGCATTTGTATTGAAACGATGCTTCATCGATAAAGTGTATATTGTGTAATAATTTGATCTTTGATACACTGAGTTTTGAGGCGGGGCTATTGTGCCCTGAAATTGTTTATTGTCGGGGCACATAGTTCTTGCAAAAACAATATTGTCTAGCCTGCTTATGATAACAATGGTGAAGGTGCTCCCTATGGGGAAGTGCACACCCCCACGGTACCCCGAGTGTTGGTAGTAGTTCTACTAGTTGCTTATGGTTGCTACTTTGCCTGAAGAAAGTAACTGCCATAGTGATGTTAGTAAGGCTATTCCACTAGTTATGGTTGCCATTATGCCTGAAAAAAGTAACTGCAATAGTGATGGTAGTAGGGCTGTTCCACTAGTTATGGTTGCTACTACCCCGGAGCCGTCGTTACTTCATGTTCGGGCAAATAGAGTTATTCACTAACTTGCGCTGAGTATGCAAGTCAAAGCTACTATATTTGTGTCCAAAACTTTATTTTCCATTTACTTCCCGCATTTGTGAGGAACAAATTGTGTTCACAGTAACATTACTATGGCGTCCTCGAAAACCGTGTAGCTGAGGACCATTACAATGACTCGAGTCCTGAGATGCCCTGACAGAACCAGCAGTCAGTACATACTTGGAGCTCGGTACTACAGGGGCTAAACTGAACTCAGCGCGGTTCTAAGTCACGTCAAGGGTTCTAAGTCACGTTCACAGTCTTGCGCGTGTCCTAAACTGAACTCAGTTTAGGACTGTTTTTAGTCCCACGTGTTGCAAGCCCTTTATGCCGTGCACCCACAGTTCACTGTATTCTCCGATTCACTTGCTGTCACTTCAAGACCATTTCTGAAGCCTATTAGAATAACAAGTTCAAAGAGAACTGTGCCGCCAAAATCTTATCCAAATAATGCATTGTTTTTTTTCGTAGTTTGAAAATGGAAAATCCTAAGAAAGATGATTTTTGTGACTCGCATATAAGTGCTGAAAGTGACAGTGACGAGTCTTATCATTCCTTTACTGAAGAACTTCAAAACGTTTCCTTGGACCAGTGCTTAGTTAATGAGAGCTGCTCCAATTCTCCTAAATTATTAACAGAAAATAAACATGAACTTTCACGAAATGTTCAAGAAACTCCAGTGAGCAACTTGAACAGCAGCGATCTTTCGCCCCCGAAATGCGACTCCAGTGATGCCAACTCAGTGCCCTGTACACAAGAGATTGGTCCTGGAAGAAGCTCATCTCCCGCGCGTAACAAAATTCATTCAGAAGAAAACCCACCAGGGGACAATTCTCATGCTAATTTAGATGACGATACTCGGGACGATGTTGGACCTGACGGTGTGGTCAACTGTCCCGCTGACGACGAGCATCACGACGACGATGAAGAGTTCGACATTTGTTGTTTAGTGTCCGTTAAAGCCAGGGACGAAGAGCTCGAACTGAAGCTGAAAGACAAGCAAGTTGACATTTCAGTTGAAGACATGAAGGTGAGTTCTCTGATGTTAACCTATACAAATTACGATTCAGAATAAGTACTTAGAAATAATGACTGTCGTTTGGAGAATTACAATATTACTCGTAATTGTGATTTGGGGATTTTCGAAAACTTTGTTATTTTCCAAATTCTGTTCACAAATTGTCATTCGCATTTGATGTTGCTATGGAACCTATATCGTCAGTGTCGAGATTAACTTGATTTTCAGTGACTTCTTCATGGGGTCACTATCTCCTGAATTCTACGGTGGTCCATAGGCGCTATGTCGTCGCCACACTCGACAACAATCCATTAAAATTCCGATTCCCTTAGATTTGCTTGTTACTCAATTCCAAATCAATTCACGACCTCCTGCTGACTTAGGCTCTACAGTTCTGAGGAGCGACAGGTCGTGCGTATGCGTGCAAATTTTAAAGATGCCGCGGCAGTCAACGTGTTAATTGCACCGTGTCTGTGTCTTCTTGTTTAGAATATGAAGTAAATCTTGCACGTGTCCTCATCTTAACCCTCTACCGCTGTGTGCCACTTTCCGGGAACATAACTTTCAACTTAAATTATACGTAAACTATTGAGTGTAGCAACCTGAGGACGTTTGAACGCAACAGAGAACATTTTAAAGTTGTACGTGGCGGCAAATTATACGTAAACTATTGAGTGTAGCAACCTGANGGTAGGCTTGTGTGACAATATTGCTCCGGTTACTCATGTCAGGCGGTAGAGGGTTAAGAAGACGCACTGGCCACAAAATGTTTAGCTAAGTCTTACCTACCAGTCATCATGTACAATTAACTCCTATACGCCAAGTAAACCTGTTATAAAAACTCTATTTATTGTATTAGCCTCAACATCCATCCCTTATAATTAAGTTGCCCTGTTAAAAAGGATAATAAATTATTGAGCGTGATTACCACGCGTTGTGCGAAAGGTGATAATAAATTATTGATTACCAGGCGTTATGAGATTAATAATTACTAAGGCAGCTAATTATTATGTAACGCTGCAGGCGGCGCTGGATGAGGCGTTGGAGCAGAAGCGTGCGGGCAACGCTAATAATCACTAACGCTGCTAATTATTGTGTAACGCTACAGGTGGCGCTGGAGGAGGCGTTAGAGCAGAAGCGTGCTGCCAACGCTAATAATCACTAACGCTGCTAATTATTGTATAACGCTGCAGGTGGCGCTGGAGGAGGCGTTGGAGCAGAAGCGAGCAGGCAACGCTAATAATCACTAACGCTGCTAATTATTGTATAACGCTGCAGGTGGCGCTGGATGAGGCGTTGGAGCAGAAGCGAGCAGGCAACGCTAATAATCACTAACGCTGCTAATTATTGTATAACACTGCAGGCGGCGCTGGATGAGGCGTTGGAGCAGAAGCGAGCAGGCAACGCTAATAATCACTAACGCTGCTAATTATTGTATAACGCTGCAGGTGGCGCTGGATGAGGCGTTGGAGCAGAAGCGAGCAGGCAACGCTAATAATCACTAACGCTGCTAATTATTGTATAACACTGCAGGCGGCGCTGGATGAGGCGTTGGAGCAGAAGCGAGCAGGCAACGCTAATAATCACTAACGCTGCTAATTATTGTATAACGCTGCAGGTNGTGGTGTGTGGTGAGGTGGTGTGTGGCGAGGTGGTGTGTGGCGAGGTGGTGTGTGGCGGGAGGTGGCGTGTGGTGAGGTGGTGTGTGACGAGGTGGCGTGTGGCGAGGTGGTGCAGCGTGTGACGAGGTGGTGTGGCACGATGACGCCACAATATATCCACGCACCACCACCATGTCAGCTAAGCTCCTCCTGTCGCAGGGTGAGCATAAGCTGGCGGTTCACTCCCTGACGCAGGCGCTGGCCCACGACCCGCGCTACGAGAAGGCCCTCGCACGACGGGCGGCGGAGCACGAGGCCTCCGAGGACCTGGATGACGCCCTACAGGACTACAAGAGCCTCCTGCAGCTGCAGCCTCACAACCGGGAGGCTAGAGAGGCCTTAGTGGTGCGACACTGGCCTCTAATGTGGTGTTTTTGTGCGCCTCTTGCGTGTTGTTCTTGGTCTAGTTTACTGGGAGCACAAGAACAAGACTTTAATTTTGTGCGACGTTTGTGTGTCGCATTTTGTGCTTGTCTTGCGTGTCTCTAAGAGATGAAGTGTATCACCTAGCATGTCTTGCGTGTCTCTAAGAGATGAAGTGTATCACCTATTGTGTCTTGTGTGTCTCTAAGAGATGAAGTGTATCACCTAGCGTGTCTTGTGTGTCTCTAAGAGATGAAGTGTATCACCTAGCATGTCTTGTGTGTCTCTAACAGATGAAGTGTATCACCTAGTTTATCAAATATCACATGAATAATCATATGCAAATAGCAGTAATACAACAATTGTTAGAGCTGGAAAGACTCAAAAAAATTTAGTGCTCTTGTCCTTCCTTCAGACAGCACTGGTATGCCTGAAAAGTGTGTAATATCAGTCATGGTATTCTAGTAGCAACGTTCAGGACCATAATCCCTTGCTGAATTGCTTATAGTGATTAATGGTGATATACTTTATTAATAATTGATTATGATATTTCTCCCTTGAAGCCCAATTGTATTGTAGTGCCCCATGCTTGCAGCAACCCCCAGCACAGCAGCTTATAGTGATTAATGGTGATATACTTAATTAATAATTGATTATGATATTTCTCCCTTGAAGCCCAATTGTATTGTAGTGCCCCATGCTTGCAGCGACCCCCAGCCCTGCAGCCGGGGGCACGCAGCTCACAGAAGAATTAATTAAAGAAGCAACGCAAAGTTTTGAGGCAAGCATGCGAGCCATTATGCTGCAGCAGCAGAAGGTAGACCAGGTTCAGCAGCTGCAAGGTGAACAATGTCTTACATCATCTTAGTCTATTGCGTTGAGCAAGAAGAAAATCTGTATTACCAAAATTCAATGTTTGTTGTCCATAAGAATTCAAATGTTATTAATATCTTTGATTTTGTGGAAACATTCCTAACTGATTGATATTAATTATTAATGCAGCAGCTGCAAGGTAAACAATGTGTTATGTCATCTTAGTCTATTGCATTGAGCGAGAAAAAAATATGTATTACCAAAATTCAATGTTTGTTGTCCATAAGAATTTAAATGTTATCAGGTGAATTTCACCATTATTCTTTTCTGTCATTGCAGGTATCAACAATCCTAATGAACCAGGAGCCATGTCAGTAAAATTGGACTTGCAATCACTCACTTCACAGTTTGCACAGTTTGCTCAAAGTGCAACAAAAGTGGCAAACAACACAAATATTCCAAATGTTGTCAACACAAATGCTCCAAGTGATGTTAATAATAGTGCTACAGCCACCCCCGGTAGTGCAGCCAACTCCACCACTCCTGCTGCTCAGGACGCAACTCCACAAACCCAAGAGGAAGTTCCTGACTTCCAGAACCTGCTCGCTGAAGCTATGCAGCAAATGGCTCAAAACAAGGAGGCTTTCCAGGTACGAGATCTTTGTTTGGTCTCTGTTACTTTATAATCCTTGATGTGCAGGCATCAAAGATTTATAATCCTTAATGCTCGCTGAAGCTATGCAGCAAATGGCTCAAAACGAGGAGGCTTTCCAGGTACAAGATCTTTGTTTGGTACCTCTCTACACTTTAGTTCTACAGAGTGAAGATTATTCTCTAAAACCAGCATCAAAGGAAAATGAATATTAATTAGTACTAGTCCTTGAAAACTCTTATACATTGGTGTAGTGAAATGATTTTCTAAGGTGATAATTTTTTAGTGATGAAGTAATGATATTTTTGAGTTGAAGAAAAATAGAGATAGCAATGTCAAGTGTGAACTTCTGTATTTAATTGTGAATTTTATCTAACAATCCTTTTCATTTGGAGAAATATTTAGTAATCTGTCATTGTTTAATTATTTGTTTCTTAAAGGTTCCTATATTAATTGCATATTGCATCAGATTTTTCTCATTATATATGTATTTTTTGTGGCAGTACATAAATCCAGTTTAGCTCTGCTTTGTTAACAATTGATGTTAGTGATCAATACAAAATTTCTGTAATCATCGTAATTAAAAAGAAGGTTTTGTTGGCAGTCGATGCCATCAGCGGATGAGCTGAGCCAGATGATGGCCAGCCTCGGTGTGGGGGGCGGAGAGGATCAGGACACGGAGGCCGCTGGTGGCCTCATGGGCCTCATGCAGTCCATGCTTGAGAACGTCCTCTCCAAAGAGATCATTTATCCTCCTATTAAGGAAATTGTCGTCAAGGTGCCATACTACTTCCTGTTAAGTCATTCCATGCATTATGACCACAGAGAAAATAACTTAGGTGTTCTGCAATCACCATGAACGTGTTATTTTATGGAGATGCAACGTCATCAGTGCACTTAAATGTTTTTGTCTCGAATCAAACTTAATTTTTAATTGAAGTCAATAAATCTTGATGGATATCATAAGTAGAGTTTCCATGTCAAAACAGCGTTCTGTATCTCCTACTGAATCAATCTTATTATATAACTGAAGTCAGTAAATCTTAATGGACATCATAAGTAGAGTTGCCATGTCAATACAATGTTCTATATTTTCTGCCACGTTTTCAACTTGGCACTAACCTCTGCTAAAAGTCTTCTTTCTTTAGTCATTTGCCACCTAAATAACTTGATGCTGCTAGTTTACAAGCAAAGATACCACTAGTGTTAACTACTCGTCTGTTTGCTGTTGCAATTAACAATTGTGTTAATTGCAGTATCCTGACTGGCTGGCCGACAACAGGAGCCGTGTAGCAGCAGCAGACTTTGATCGCTACAGCAGACAGTATGACGTCATGAGGGAGGTTTGTGCTGTGTGTTGGTGACGTCATGCGGGAGGTTTGTGCCGTGTGTTGGTGTCGTCATGAGGGAGGTTTGTGCTGTTAGTTGGTGACGTCATGAGGCAGGTTTGTGCTGTGTGCTGGTGACGTCATGAGGCAGGGTTTGTGCTGTGTGTTTGTGCCGGGCTTACATTCACTTATTTACCTTCGTATTCAGAACAATTTTCTATTTATTCGATCGTAATTTGCCGATGGTTGATAAGCAATAATATTTATTCCAAAATATAGTGTACTTATTGATGGCTAGCGCTGATTTTCAAGATTAAATAAAGTAGTGTTATTTAATGTGAACATATAACAGTGAGAGCAATTGATATTTGGAATGATATTTTTTATATATGAATTGATATGATATTGATATTTTTTCATAAATGAATGTTATATTTGAATTGATATACGTACCTATATGGAATGATATATGTATGTTCCGTTGTCCCACAGATCGTTGACCTGTTCGAGTCAGAGAGCGAGAGCGACTCTGATGAAGTCAAAGCCAAGCGCTTTGAAGACCTGGTCGCCCTCATGCAGAAGGTTGGAGTCTAGTTGTGCTGACGACTGCTGACTACTGCTTAAGACTTGTGCTGTCTCTTATACACATCTAGATGTGTATAAGAGACAGCGTCACTACAGCGCTATTCATATTCTGATGGCTGCCGTCACTACAGCGCTATTCATATTCTGATATTCTCGGTCACTGGCTTTGCAGTGGATACTCGGTTACACGCACTCCAGTCCTGCCCCGGACTTATAATTCAAAAGTTCAGTTGATCATCCCCAACTTGGGGCATGATCCAGAATTATGCATTTTGCAAATGTTTGGTTTATCAATTTCCTAAATTGTTATTTCATTCCAATCGGGGAATAGTATATGTTTTAGTTCTAACATTAAAGATGTGTCTCGAAATCCCCCAATTATATTTGTTCGTTTCCAAGAAAGACCTCATTACTGACCACTAATTTGGACAGGCCAATGGCGAACACTGATTTCCCACGATAAATCTTGTCTAAAGCCTTAAGCTTGAGCCGCCGCACTAAGTCCCACCATATCGTAAGCAGGAGTTTGTTCAAATGTAATGGAAACGCACGCGCTCCCCTCGACATAACACGAGGTATACCGCGCCGGCAATACAATTATTAGATGCATTAAGAGCTCTGGTGGTGAGGTCTCCAGGTGGACCTGTTGCGATCTTGTTGCACCGGTCACAGAAATTCAGGACAAATTATCTATGTTGTTTGACATTGCTATGCCAACTTCTGTGGGTAGTTTACCTCTACCAATCTCAAGAGGCACTGTGATGATGGTGAAAAATTGCTGAACTAGGACTGCTATTAATATTATAATGTTCAAATATACCTGGTTTCCAAATATACGAGCTTTCTATCGCCGCCATTTTTTAACCAACGTGAAATTCACAGAGACAGTACTATTTTCCACAGTCAAAAATACTTAGATTTTCTGAAGGTTGGAACCAAGTAGAGAAATTAATTTATAACATTCCCCTTTGTACGTTGACATGATTCAAAGTGTACCTGTTGACTGGTGAAGGGTAAGAAAGTGTCATGTAGACGTCATGCTGACTTTACTGAAGAGGCATTTCAAATGGCAACATAATTCTAAGCCGTCGGTCATAGGACGCCCATACAATAAAGGTTTTCATGCTCATACTTCAGCAAGTTCAATAAGTGCAGCCGTCTAGCGGGCACCAGCATGTCGCCTCCCATACTTTCGTTATGGTAGAAGGAAGCAATAAATTAACCTTCGAGTCTCGTGTTCTTGCTGGAATATCGGCTGCGTCATCAACACTTCTATCTGGTGCCTAACATGGTAAACATGGCGGCCGCAGTAAGAACCGACTCTTAAATATATAAAAACAAACACACGTACGCATATTAGTAATAATTGGTACAAGAACACGGGCTGCTCCACTGTATAGTATCTCACAACACATTAAATTACTGAATGAATATCAATGTATAACTTATGATGAAAAATTGCGAGTACAAAAACACGTTAAAAAAACCAACAATACCTGGATGCGATTCTGTTAAATCTGGACAATAACCGAGACTCGTAAACCTGTCACCTAGCAACATATTTACGCACTGACAACTGAATTATCCCCTGTAAATTATTCACTATTTTTTTACTGTAAACGCGTAACCTCACAAAATATTACGTCAAGAGTCACAATGTCGCGTCATGTGTCGCGACGTCTGCCCATTTCATATTCCTCAATCCAGCTCCCGTAATAACCATGGATTACCAGTCCTGCACTCATCACACTGCTCACCAGCAAGAATTGATACTTCTTTATCTCATAAATCTTTGAAATTTTGAACATAATTTGCCGAGCCTAGTGTGGCGTCCACTCGTACATAAACGACACAATTGGCAAAAATTACTTTGATACTGGGATAGAAAATCGCGTCGTGTTCTCATGAACAAAAACATTACCACGTTACTCATAAGAAGTATCAGCCAGACAAGCAAGCGCGCAGTGAGCCACGTCAGCACTCAGCACGTGACAGCAACAAGTGTCAGGACGTCAGTTGTGTTGTAGCTCATGCAAAGCTACGCGCCGAACTCATGAGTATCGTCTACGCGCCGAACTCATGAGCATCGTCTACGCGCCGAACTCATGAGCATCGTCATCAGTCACATCGCCGTACTGCCAGATGCACAGATGCTTCTTCTTAGCCTCGTCCTGAGCTGCCGCGTACTCGGCGTAGAGTTTCTCGAGTTTCCTCACGGAGCGCTTCTCGAGAACGACGACGCCTGCAGCGAGGAGCTTCTTGGCAATATCCGTCTTGTCAGTTCGCTGCATCGTCACGTACTCGCAGCCAGACTTTCGGTACTCACAGTTGACCAGCACCTGGTCCTCCGTCTCCAGCCTCAACTGGTCCAGAGCTGCTGACACATAATCCTCCTGCAGAAAGTCGCTAAATTGGCATCATTTATAGTTTGAAGTTAAACATATATTCTATAATAATATTCACCTCACGTTCACTCACAATCTGTTTTCACCTGGTGATTGCATAAATATTGGCCAGAGACGGGCAAGGCTACAACATCAGTTACAACTTCATACTTAATTGTGCATAAACCTTGCGACGAAAGTGAAAACTACACAACCTTATGATCAGTTTGAAGACAAGCCACAGCCAAGCAAATTGCTCAATACTTCACCTCTTCGTAGAGTTTGATGAGAGCGAGCTGCATCTCCTTGGCATAGTAGGGCTGTTTCTCCAGACCGTGAGGGAGCTGCGTGCAGCGAGTGGGCGTTGTCACCTGCCGGTTGCCGTAGTCTACGTAGTAAACGTGCACCTTGCCGCCGGCGACCTTCTCAACCTTCGCTCGGTACCACATGTTGTCCACGAACTTCGCTGCGCACAGGTCACCTGTAGCAACACAACACTCAGTGTCTTCTAGCCCATCGAACATATACAACGGTGGACAAAATAAGGGAAACGACTGACATTTTGGTATCGTAATTTTTGAACATGTTATAAAAGATGAAAAAGTGACATATTCTTATGTTTAATCGTTTATTGTTGCTGCTAATTATTATTTCATCATCGCACAGATATATTCAGCAAATTTCCCGGAGCGCTTATTGGCACGAAGCGGTCAATGGGTGGCACGGCGCATGCAATTCATGTCTATAACCTAACCTAAAAATGGCAAACCTCTCTGACATTCAAAGAGGCCAAATTGTTGGCGCCCGTATGACAGGTGCTAGTGTGACAGAAATTTCCAGAATGCAGTGCCTTACGTTTCTAGAGGTACTCTCTCAAAAGTAATGACTGCTTTTGAAAGAGAAAGAAAAACGTCCTCAGCAGAGCACAGGTCTGGCCGAAAGTTGAAGTTGTCTGAGAGAGACCGTCGGTACCTAAATCGAATTGTGAGGAACAATCGAAAGACCACGGATGTTAAAATTACTGCAAGACTAAGTTCATACTATGATTCAAGCACTATTTCCGGAGGGAAACGCCATCTTTCACGATGATAATGCCCCGATCAATCGCTAAAAAATGGCACGAGGAACATTCTAATGAAGTTGAGCATCTCATTTGGCCACCACTATCGCCACACCTGAATATTATCGAGCATTCATGGTCGATTTTAGAGATACAAGTCATAAGTCGATTCCCGCCGCCATCTACTTTAAAAGAGCTGAAGGGAGTTTTAACTGGCGAATGGGTTACAATTCCGTTCATACAATTAATAATTTGTATGAATTAATACCTCGGAGAATTCAGGCTGTAATTGCCGCAAAAAGGTGGACATACACTATACTAAAATATATTTTGTGAATTTCTCACTGGTTCTCTTTATTTTGTTTAACCGCGGTACATCAAACATGGTCAACGCGAGCATTTCGTAATATCATTTCCACATGCTTTCAGCCATGCTGATCTACGGACGAATAATTCTCTTTTATAATATAATCAAGCCGCGTAGATAATTCAAGTTTGAAACACAGAAGAGAACAAACTAGACTGACAAAATTCAGGGTTTCTTAACTGTCTCAAAACTTTATTATAAAATGAGTTCGCGTCAATTTTGGAGTGTAAAAGTCTATCAAGGGAGGAAGAAATTCGAACATAACGCACCTCTTTTGGGATTATAGGCTCCAGTGACAGGTGGGTTTGAAGCGAAGGCTTGTTGAAGAGCCTCAGAAAGTTTGTCCAGTGAGGGTCCATCTGAAAGTTTTTGTCCATAGATCTTGCCTTCGTTTGTGATTTCCGTGATTACCATTGGGCGAAAATCGATCTTGCGTTCGCCTTTATCATCTTCTTCGTGCTGTGTGAATAAAATTATCTTAATAGCCAATTAAGCTAACCTTTCAACTCAAACAAATGCATAAAACATTTGCATCTTGTTTTGGATGCATACCTAACTATATATATTTTACCAAAGAAAAAATAGCCAATTAATTTGAAAGTGCGTCAGAATTAGCAACACATGTACAAATATTAACGCTAAAAAGAGAAGAGTTCAAGCATTTCAAATCTAATGGGAACGGAATCAAGAAAATAGATGAATTGCTAATAGGGATTCAATAAACTTTTGTCTACGTGCAGTAACAGGATGAATGCAGAGACGTGCAAGCATACTCACGTGTTCCTGTATGTGTTCCTCAGGTTTGTAGTTCCGCCAAATGTTTAGTTTAGCCTGTTTCGCCTTGACCTCGGCAGCGACCAGCTGACTGTAATACATGGAAGCTTCGGCTGTGACGTGCATAGAGCTATAACCGCGTTCAACGAGCTCAACCGACAGGTTCTTGCCTTCGAAGAAGAGCCAACCTATGAAATTACCACCTTTATCCATCGATTCAATTTCAACCTCCACCTCGCGCTGTAATACGAGGCCCCTTGTGAAATCAAGAGCCTCCTTGCCGAAAGGCTCGGCTTCCAAGTTCCCTCCGACGCCACCGGGAGCCATCCTCGCAGCTCTGGGGCACGTGATGCCTGCCAGAAGCAGCGTCACGAGGCACGTCTGACGCGGAATGTAAACACGAAGGCGAGAGCCCGAGGCTACGAACTCAGGCACAGCATCGATGCGTCCCACGCGCTTCAAGGAAGTCAAGTAAGTTTTGGCCTTGGTGGGGTCTGAGACGTCGTTGAATCTGTGTGATGGTGCGTTCTCCTTCTTGTCATGCAGGCCTTTGCTGCCCTTGATGGCCTTAGCCTCGGCAGCAAGGAGGTCGTCGTAGCAAGTGGCGCGTTGATCGTCGTCTTGTCTATACCGTACAACTGTAGCAAGACCTTTGCTCACCATGGCTTCTGCAACGTTAATATCGTTGATTTTGACCGTGCAGCAAGTCTTTTCAGGGTAGTTGTTCTGTGCAGGCTGGATGTAGTCAACAATTACAGTGACTTTTTGTCCTATGAGTTTCGTGCGAAGGAATTCGCGGGCTTCATATAGCCACGGAATGTCAAACAATGGACGGAAAACTTTTCCAGACTGAGCCTTTTGTTCTTTTTCTTCGAGCCTCGGCGGTCTAATGCTGGACAGAAATATCTTCTTTGTGGTGTTGTCGTTCTTAAGAATGACAAGCGCATCGCCATTGATGATTTCGATGACGCGTCCAGTGAACTCTCTGTCCTTGTCAGCCACTTGGCCACCCGCGGGTTTGTAGTCAACCCAAAGCCTCAGCTTCTTCTGCTTGGCTATTCTCTCGGCTGCCCTCAGCTTCTCAGGTCCGCCCGTCACGGTCGTCATGGACCAGTCCACGCATTTGGCGAACCCTTCCTTTAAGAGCGCTTCAGCAATGTTCCCGGACTGCACATAATTTAATAATTATAGACATATTCACTACACATTTTGACTATCCGTTATATTTATATAGGTATATATCAAACCATCATGAGCACAGTATTTGACAAAGCAAGAAACCCTGTTTTCGACGCACCGGATGAATGATGGAGCCAACAACATTATTGTTATTGGCCGTCTCGAGCACAATCTTGATGTCGCGCTGCAGCAGGCGGCTCTCAACAAAATATTTTGCCTCTTCGCCATACGCTTCAGCGCTGCCGGCGCCTGGCCGAGCGCCATCCGAGCGAACGTTTGGACACTGCAATGAATGAAACGCTAAATTATTTTACAAACTTGAATAAACAAAAATTACAACTTAACACGAGTATGACTAGGATCGGAGCCTCAGCCCTAGTCCTTATGTTGCGCAACTGCAATGCAAGCATGAAATGCAACAGGAAGTAGACCACAATTTTTGAATAAATAAAACTGCCAAATTCCCTAGATGACATCGTCTGAAAATCGGGGAGAAGGAGATGCATGGTCTGAAATCAAGAGGTAGATGCATGGTCTGAAATCAAGAGGTAGATGCATGGTCTGAAATCAAGAGGTAGATGCATGGTCTGAAAATCAAGAGGTAGATGCATGGTCTGATAATCAAGAGGGAGATGTTTGGTCTGATAATCAAGAGGGAGATACATGGTCCTAAAATCAAATAGGAGAATCATGGTCTAAAAATCAGAAAGGAGATGCATGGCCTGCTAATCAAGGAGATTCTTATCTGCAAAATGGCAACGCAAGAAAAATACCAACCTATTTAGCAGTAACCCGCTATCAACAAAACATTTGCCCATTAAGTATCAACAAGGCTCTAAAAGTTCAGAATTATTTACAAGAAGATTTTTCAACTAAACTTTTTTAGAAAATCTAGCCGTTTTTACTAGTTGTCATTAGGAAAAGTTCAGATTGAGACTATTTTTTTAAAATATTAGCATTATTTTTCCCTAAAAATTCAATTGATGCAATCAATCAATCCAAAATCTTCAACAATAAAGGTTTGAAATTCATTATTTTGAAGATCGTAAAGGTGAATGTGACACTTGGTACCTACAACATTGAAACAGGAGGTAATGAATTTCATAATTGCAGAGGAAAGCTAACATTTAGGAAGCATGTAGCAACCATGGGAGCAAATTACAGTTGGTAATACACAGTTTTCATCATAAATGAAATTGTACAAGTTTGTCCAATGAAATGCTAGCCATTTGTTCTGTCACTGCCACCATATGTGCAGTCTTGGTTCTTGTCAACGTAGAGTTGACAAGAACTCTACGCTGTCAACTCTATGACAAGGGCTACACCAGGGCATCAGTTAGCCATGCAGCTCATAGTATACAAATCTAATCAGTAGCCAGCAAACCTCCAAGGAGGCTAGAAGGTACCTACTCAATTAAGAACATATTTCCTACAATCAAAGGTTACAATTGAAGAAGAAGTAAAATTCCTTCTTTTACACGAGCTGATGCATAGTAATTAGTTAGGAGATATTTACTAGTTATTAAGGAAGCATCCTGCTTCCGTCTCTTTCACAGCCTCCACTGCACGAAGCACCTTACTTTCCATACATATTTTTGCTCTCTTAACCTCAGCCACAGACACCACAATTGCGCAATGCTCGCCTCAATTAGTATCTTCTCAGTCTATAACTCTATGGGTGTGAGAGTAACCCCATTGCTCTGCAGAATTTTATCCAACATATTCTGTGTCTGGATAAAATGATTGGTAGCTGAGACCTGGTGGGTGGCAACAGATGCTACTCGTTGCCAAAATATCTTACGTCAGGCAGTACACATTCATGTGAAGTTAATAATAACTAATTACATAGGCCACGGCTCTGAGTGTTTCCTTACCACCTGGCACGCCAGCTGTGTCTTACCATTCCTAACTGTTACACACACCACGGTTTTGGAACCTCTGATTTATAGATATAGACAATAAAAAATATCAATACAACATACAAAGACCTGGTGTCAGTTCAACACACCCTGATGCCGGAGATCATGAGAGTGACGTGGTAGAAGTCAGGCAGGAGGAAGGCTCTGACTGTAGAACCATCCCTGACGTGCTCTATGATGGCAGGCACGGGCTTGTTGTTGAACTTGTCAACCAGGGCGCGCGTGTTGTCAACTGTCCACTTGATGTTGCGTACGTGCTCTGAGTCGTTGCCTGCCCACCGGCCCTGCACAACACAACATCACAGTAAATATAAGTGAAATTAAGAAGTCATTTCCATCACTAATAGAAAATACATATATATATTTAACTCAGTACTCACTTCAGTGAGCGACAGACAGCGCATTTTCTCATTGACGAAAACGTGGTCACGGACAGACACACCGACAGAAAGACGGACAGACAGGTAGACGGGCGGACAGACATGAGCACAATAGCAATTTTTCCATAAATGAGAAAATGTTCTAAAACGTTATTGAAGATAGAACGTTGTTATTGAAGAGGAAAGGAGATGTAAAACCTATTGCATGAAGCAATTTTATTGATGAAATAGGCAAATAAATTGTAAACGTCAGATCCTTGCCATAGCTTTGAAGAAGATATCCATGCTGAAATAATACCGACCTTAGCTTGACTTTTTGCCAGATCTTCAAGGTTGGCGAGATTGCTCTCTCCTCGGATGCTCTCCCGGCGCACAGCTAGCCAGCCTTCTGCCACCATGAGCTCTGTGATGTTCTCCCCTGTGGCCACGTCTGCAGCAAATAAATATTCATTAACTAATGCTCAGCTTACTTATCATGTTCTTATACCAGAATTACATGAACCAACAGGTCGTTAGACCTAGAAAGTCACCCCTCAATTAAATTTAATGTTCATTCAAACCTCATTTCTGATACAACCAAGGTACCACACGAAAGGAACTACATATCTAAAATTATTGAAGACTTCACCCAAAACCAACCGAGTGCAGAACTCCCTTCTTGGTACTTCGATCAGCATTCACAATGATGAGGAAAGGGGAATCCATGGCAAAGTTTACAGGCAAAAAGCCGACTTAGAAAATGGAACATTTCGTGGCATGCAGAACAACGTAAGATTGAAGCTGAATTAAATCCAACAACATCAACATACAGGCATAATGCAAGCTGCAGCCAAGTATAAAGTGGTTCTCACTCCAATGGTGCTAGCCTACTTTGATGTGCCAAAAAATTAAGAGACGATGTCAGTCATATATATAGGTACACCACGATGCCAGTCATATATATACACCACAATGTCAGTCATTTATATACACCACAATGTCAGTCATTTATATACACCACAATGTCAGTCATTTATATACAACACAATGTCAGTTTTAATCTCCTCTGTATAAATATAAGATAGTCAGCCCACTAATTTTGCTCGTATTTTTGAAGTTTTCGATCTGATGATGGCCCTGTTTCCAGAACATTTTCAATAAAATTACAATAAATTTAATGTCATTTTTGTAGTTTTTAAACAATTCATCAATTAGAAGTTTCAGTAAACAGCTAAATTGCTTTAATTTGGCGTGAACGGCTGTTCTAGGCATCTTCTAAAATAAAATACTACACCTGCCATATCTCAGGAAGATTATTAAATTCAATGGATAAATATGGATTACCAATACATTTCAAGGACCTAGAGTCAACTTGAAAGCCAATCTATATGTTCTTATTAGCAAGTAAAAGGTAATGAGTTGACTTAGAACTTGCCTTTGCCAAGATAAATGCAGCCATACTCTCTGGGCAATGTCTTGCTCTTGGGGTCAATAGTGAAGATGACTTCTTTTCCAATGACCTTCTTGCGTAAGAACTCTCGCGCCTCCCAGGCATATGGCTCGTCTGCTGTCTCAGGGTTGCTGCTCACAATTAAAGTAAAGTTAGGAACCATGATTTAAGGCGAGGGGATTCTGAATGCTCAAGGAAGTTTTTAAGGCAGCTTTGAATCTATCTTCATAGAGCAAACTCGTTTAATAGAGCAATCATACAATGAATGACAAAGTTGAATGACAGGTTCCTAATCAAAGTAAGAAACCTTTATCTTCATCCAATACCACGTTAGTGGTACCTAATAATTTATTTATCAGGTAATGCACATTCTCTAAAACTCTAGCCACGCCTATCATGACACAGCTGGGGAAACTATTAAAACAATGGCCACATCCAAATTAACCATATTTATATCATACAATTCATCCTACCAAATAATTCTTTCATACATTTGTTGCTGTATTCAGTCCCATAATCATGAAGTTACTGCACTGAATCCTTTCATGTAATATACATAGATATCCCTTCAGTTTGCTCTTCCTCACTATATATTGTGAAGAGTTGCATGAAAAAGTTAGAAATTCTAAATTTCTCCCGCAATAATTTCTTATTTTTCACAGCTAAATCTTCCATGAAAATGCAGGGAATATCAAACGATTTTTTTTTTTTCTGGGCAGCAGTGAGGCTGCTCTCTGCACAGCTGTGAGTACAAGTCAATGTTCAGCACTGGACAGAGAAGCTCTAAACTCTAAAGATTCCATTACAAGCAGCTCCGAGCAGCAGCCAGCTCTCTCGGTGACACAGTTAAACTACCTGCTAATCTGGGCCTTCAGAATCTTCATACTCCTCAATCATTCTCAAACTTCCTATGAACCTGGTTTACTATTCCTTATTTTGTGCAAATGCCGTGTCATTTTTGTTTTGTTTGGTTTGCAATAACTGTGCTTATTTCGCTCCTGCAGGAAGTTGGACACAGTTTTAAGATTGTACCATCTTAAGCAAATTTATATAGAATTTCTATCAAATTTATATCTACTATATTTCAATTACAAATTTAAGCTTGTTAAATTTATATCAAATATACATCATATCAAAAGCTATACAATCTATATCAAAGTGGTTGAATACATTTATATCAAATTATAGAAAATCTTGATACATTGTTTCAAAACTTTAACCAATTTTATTAGATCTTTATAAAATAAATCTATTTGCCAGAAATAGGCATTGTGCAATTTGCCTCAGCAGTTTGTTAAACTGTTACAGGTTTTCCCTTCCTAATATAAATCTTTAGTCTTCTTTAAATATGCAGTTAACTTGATATATTCATTACATTGGGCATTAAAAACCTCAGGCTAGTTGTAGAGATTTTAAATTGGTTTGATATTTTTTTGGAAATTTCTGCTTATTCATCTTGACAGTTAAATCCTGTATGAGCCTGACAGAAGTTATACTTTCTTGCTAGTATCAAGTTTCAGGTCTTAATGTCAGAGTGCTTTTTAGCCATCATTGGGACCTCAATTCTTACATGTTACCACTACGTGTTCCTGTACCATGACCACATGACAGTGCTTAGGAGACAAGACCTGGAGCCCTTAATTAACCCTTTACCGCCTGATTTTCTGGGTCAAAAATCGTAAATTTCACTTTTCCGATTTTTAAACTCACCTTAAAGCTGACATTCTGACCTATCCAACGGTACCAAAATCATCTCTGTACGTTGATTTATGCCTTGACGACAGATCGCTCAAAGGCTAGGGGTGGGGGAGTTCTTATGCATTTTAAGATAGGCGAAAATTACCGGCCGGGCACATAAATAGACGGTCTGAAGACGCTGATCTTTAGTTACCCGGTTACTGTCGTGTGGGATGGTGCTCATGCAGTCGTTCCCACCATCCTTGACTGAATTTCAGCTCCAGTAACGTCTAGTCTGGTATCCATGCCACCTTGAATGCCTATTTCAAGGCGCTCGGGACTTTGTTGCGCTCTACTGAACATTCACACTTATTGTCACCGCAAACCTATCTCCTCCTAGAGTTTTTAAGCTACAGTAATGAGAGATATACCGTTTGATTCGAAAATAAAAGATCTAAAGATTGTTTGTATCTTTTTTTCAATTTCATTATGATTTGGAAAATATTTTGAAAAAGGGGGGGAATTCAAAAGGGTGGGGGGGTGTAATCACAATTTTTTTTTTAAATGCCCACCCCATGCACAAAAATTAGAATTTTGAAAAACAGCAAGGACCAATCGATAGATATGGTTCTTACGCATCGAATGATATGCATCTCGATGTTGTAGCTTGAAAATCCTAGGAGGAGATAGATTTCCACAGTAGTACCCCCGTTTTGGTTTTCTAAGAATTTCATGTTTTCTTTCATTATTTTCAAAAAATTCACACAAACAAAAAAGTCTTAGATATATTTTTTACACATGTGTACCACGTTTCCAAGTGATCCGTCTGTAAATAACCAAAATTAAATTTCCTCTGGAAAATGGAAATTTTATTTCAGTTATTTACAGACAGATAACTTTGAAACTTGGTACACATATGTAAAAAATAAATCAAAGACTTTTTTTGTTCGTGTGAATTATTAAAAAAAATGAAAGAAAATGTGAAATTCTTAGACAACTGATGTTTTTTAAAGGCAACTTGAAAGTCCAATTTGGCGGTAAAGGGTTAAACTTAGCTGCTCTCGGAACAAGATGCTTATTGGAAACCAATTTTACTTCAGAGCATCTTTTACCAGAAGTAAGGCAGTTTGAAGCATTTTAAATGAATTTCTCAGTAAATGAAACCTTACAAAGCATCCTAGTTATTTTCAGATGTGCCATTGATGCTTCCTGTCAATTTTTCCTATTCTGAGTTTGTTAATTAAATAAACTTGTAATTCAAACTTGACTGTGTAAATCCTTACAATAAAAATATAACTTCACTCTGAAATTACTATTCATATTGAACTCACTTTGTTGTTCCCCTCCGAGCCAATCTTGGTGCAGAAACATTGGAGAAGTTAATTTGGCGCTCAGGTGGAGGTCCACCCTTAGGCTGTCCTCTCACAATAACAGAATCTCCAGACAGCACCTGAAATAAATCATAATTTACTATTGAAACTTGGATTTCAAAGCATCACTAACACTAAGAAATAGACAAAATTAGTTGATTAAAATACGTGCATCAAGCCAGCATTAATTGAACATTTGCACAATTGCATGTGTATTTGTCAACATGCCACACACAAAAATTACCGCAAAATGACACATTTATAATGCAAGCATCTGAAAAAGTCATGAAAAATTTTGTCAACAGAAACCCGCCAAATATAGTTAATGCCATTAATAATTAAAAATAATGCCATTAATAATAATTAATGATGACTAGGTTCTCTAACTTGTTCTGTAGTCTTTAAAGATGCATCACAATATGAAATAAGAAAACTGACTACCAGACAATCTCTTTCATATCTGAGGGCATTTTTTGATTTTTGGGAGTTTTCAAACATATTTGGGGATTCTTTGGTCCTCTTTTATAATAAATAAAAACGAATACAATAAATAAATAAACTTTCTAAAGGCAATAAGTAACTATTTGATGTCAGCCTAACATAAGCTCTACCGTCAACCAGGGCTACACGGGATGATTTTGAATATTTTTCATTCATAACTTCTTACCATGAAACATTTCATAAACAAGTTTAGGCTCATTTCAAAGCTCTTTGCAAGAGCTATCACATGGCTTCTTAAAAAAAATTCCATATGCTATTCATAAGGTGCCAGAAGCAAAAAAAGGGGGTCCCAAGTAGCCCCGTCGAATAGGGCTACTCGGGACACTTGGAATAAAACTTCAGTTTAAAACATTTGAAGCATGCAGAGTGTACTCATTCATTACTAACAGAACTCTGAAGTCCTCCTCTTTCATTGTAGATGACGTAGAGGTAGAAATATGACAATTTCTGTGATTTTTACTTGTTTTTCCTTTATTGATATGATATTACTATAAACATTAATTACCGTATTATTGATGCAATATTACCGTATCCAAGAACATGCCATTGAGCATTTACAACAACCTTGTCCACTGCAAGCTTCATATCAGCAGCCTTATAGCATTTTTTCTGTATCTGTAAGCTTACAGGACAGCTTGTAATTTCACACCATTTTCATTGGGTTAAGTGAATTTACTGTAAAAAAAAGAAATCGTGAAAAACATACCTGAAACAGAAAGGAATGTTTTAGTGACATTCATCATATGTTTTGGAAAAATAAATCATAGTTTAGGTCAATTACTTTTCATTCTATGATGCCTGGTGCACAATTCAATATATGACATTCTATGCACAATTTTGTTATGACCAATGATGCACTAATTTTTCGACAAGTGAAATTTTTTTCACTGATCAAGGTAAATGTAATCAATATTCTTTGTTTTTAATCAATTTTTTTGTTAACTGGAGCCTTTGCTAACTGAGGTTCTACTGTAAATGCGTTTTTTTTTTGGGGTGTCACAAATAGCCCTGGGGGGTGTCCCAAGTAGCCCCGCTGTCCGGAAATGGCCACCATTTCTTTTGATTGAGGTATGTAAATTCTGCAAATAAAGTTTTCATGCTGACACTTGTCTGCCACTTTTTTCTAAGAAAAATTTTTTAATACGGCAAATATTTTTTTACTACAGACCTTAGCAGAAGTAACTTTTCAAAATATTGTTTTTCACCATTTTTTTCAGGAATTTTTCAAAGCTAGTAAATGTAGTATTTTTGAACATCCTTTATACTACATTGATAGGAAAAATGTTGACATTTACACCACTATATTTAGTTTTGCAATATTCCAATTAGTTTTGCTACTAAAGCAGTTTTATGCCGTGTCGGAGGAATGTCCCGAGTTACCCCGCCCGTCCCGAGTAGCCCTGGTTGACGGTATGTCAAACATTTTCAACTTCTATGTAAATAATTTACATTGTATCAATTCTCAAAGTGAAGCATACAAAATCATAGATCCTGGAAAATAACCCAATTTTTTTAATGAGATTTAATGGATATATATTTAGCTTTTGAATATTATAGCTTCACATTTCCTGTTTTCTTTTAGTAAAGGTTACTAAAACAGTCATCACTGAAGGCTAGCAGTCAAGTGGCTGGAATGAGTGAAGCAGTCAATATACTACAACAGGGTATTAAGGGACAAGTTTTATCATTGATAACTTCTTACCAAGAAACCTTTCATAAACAAGTTTAGGCTCATTTCAAAGGTCTTTGTGAGGGCAGTTGTATGGCATCTCTAAAAAAATTCTAAATGCTATTCGTTAGGTGCCAGAAGCAAAAAAAAGGGCTCACAATTACCTCAATTAAGGGTCCCCAATTTTTTAATTTCTCATGTCTTTTAAAAAATGCTGGTTGTTTAGGAGCAGTAATAATTTTATTTTTATAAATCAAAGAGCATTTAGTAAGTTTAATTTAGCTAGTAAAAAAAATGGCATTATTTAAAAAAAAAGTAATCTAAGTTACCCCATTTTACAGTATTTATGATTTTAATTAATGCTCAAAGCTTGCTTCGGAGTTAGGACTGAGGTTATATTGACAAGTCAGTGGCAGAACAATGCAAAACTTCTGCAGCGACCCAATAGCTACTTGTGTTGGTTTGAGTGGCCTTGGCACGTATTTCTACAGTTGCTGCAGGTAGGAATAAACATCAAAGGAACAAAGGTAAAATTGTCATCCATACATCCTAATTTAAATCACAAGGATATGATTTGGTAAGTATTTTGCAAATCTCATTTATAATTGGTAATAGAAATGTCTATTTCAGAGTTATTCTTGAATACACTTGTGAAAATTAAAGTTCTGTAGTCAATTGTCATTTGTCTTCAAAATGACAAAATTGTTAAATTTACAATAGTTATATGAGTGAGGTCATCAATCATCATAGAAGCTTAGAAGCTATAAGAAAAAATTTTTGTTTTTGATGTAAAAGAATGTTTTTAATTGTAAAGAAATGCAATACTTGATCTTCAGAATTGCAAAGAAATGCAATACATGATTTTCAGAAATATAATGCAAAAATTAATGATCCCTATTATAGGGTAAACGCGGTATATTCCGGCACATTAAGGACGCATCGAGAAATGAAAAACTATAAAAATAACCGTATGCGTTACGTAAGTTCTGTTGCCTTCACATGACTCTCAAAACACTTCACTACGCGTCAGCAACAATGAAACGTCACAAAATGTTGCCATATTTATTAAAAAGCCTTTAGAATGGAAACCTACCATAAAAAAATCGGTTTTCCGATGCCGACCGCCAAAAATGGATTTCAGATTCGTAATCTACACCCCAAAAAACATATAATTAAAAAAAAAAACACCCTTTTTTTTGGATGTAGTTAATCTGCAATAATACCGTAGCTAGCTCCTGCCAGGTTTCCTGTTTCTTTTAACTGTTCCATATCGATAATAATTGGACCTTTTCAAAAATTAAGAATCAAATTACCTATTGATTGCCTGCAGCCTGCCATTCAAAGTTTAAAGAGTTTCATACTACTGCTAAAACAGCTCCATCAGTTCATCTCAGCTGACCCAGCACAAGCATGGAAAACATCTGCCTTTAGGGCCGCAACTAGAGGTTTCCCGCCATTTCTGAAACCGCGAGATTTCCGTCCGATGAATTAACCCTATCCAAATGTTAACAAAAGTGCACGATCGAGCCGCGAGATTCCAAATGTATTGAAAATTCATCATGTTGAAGCCGCGAGATTTCAGAAACAAATAGAAAAATTCCAATCCTGTCCCAGCATAAACATAGAGTAACTAAAAATAAATGACTTTCCAGTCCACATCTATCATTAGCCAGCTCATTGCATATTGATATTTTAACTAGGTAGGCTAATTTGAAAAAAAAATCACAATCCGATAAGAGTCTGACTCCCGAGGACTGGTCTGACTGGAAAATACTATTTCCAGAATAAAGATCATAGACAGTGATGGACTTTTTGCAATGTAAAAAATAGAGAAAATGGTTACTCATAGGAAAATTTCAAATCAACAAATCACATAGCTAGCAATTAAACAACATTTACATATCCTAGTCTAGCTAATCGCGTTCGGGACACGCCGAACCAACTCGTGTACGTTGAACATCAAGTACTCTGTACTTTCGAAAACGCTCAGATATAACAAAACAAACCTCTAACTCTGAAGCCATATTTAATAATGTTGATTAATATACGAATATTTTATGCCCATCTGGATTGTTACATGCCTGACAAATGACTAACCTGCTTGACAATTCCTTTAAAGGATTCTGACACATTCGGGATAGGAGCGGCCATGTCTTCCACGTGTTAGAGCTTAGATGGGACTGAACCTGAACGACGGTCTGCTTCAAAGAAACACGCTGGAGCTTCTAAAAGGCAATATTATTTTATGTTCAATTTTTTTCAGGCGCTTCTTGGATTGAGATAAAAGGAGACCTAAGCCGAAATATTGCAAAACTTTGATATAAAAATACAACTTAAATGACATTTATCTGATGTGATGAATTATTAGTTAATTGAGCAGGCCACGTAGAGACACCTAACAGTTCCTCATTTATCAGCTGGATTGCTTAGTCCGCAATCCGTATAAAAACAAACGAACAATGATTAACAATAATGAAATATAATTAATAATAAAAACATATTACCTATCTGACATTGCTTGATATACGATAGTCACTATTTATGTAAAAAAATTCAATTAAACATAGTTCGATTCTCTTGATGAATCATCTGCCTATACTGAAGAACGGCCCTCGGACACAATTCTCAGAGAATTGTGTTTTTTTTTAATTTTAAATAATTTGCACGGTATCGTAGCATTTTTATTCGAACTCAAAAGAAAAGCGCTGGCTTCTTGACAATGATTTGGTTCTGTGTGGAGTTTGTCTTTGTTTCTGAATATATAATTTATCTTAGCAAACCACGTCACGGACGTTTTTCCGTTTTATAATTTAAAAATAATATTCATCTAAATGGTGGAATAACCTTTCTTATCAATCGTTATCACACTACAAATAATTTACGAGTAATTAGTACTTGCTTGAATTTGGTACTCAACAATCACATACGATATACAGGGGTGTCAAAAAAAACGATACTCAACTTTGAATGGCTGTAACTCGAAAAGTAATAGAGTTAAAATAATTTGGAAGGTCAGGATTTGTTTCCTATGTTTTTCTGCATCTCTCCACCAAAATCAGACAGATCGATGTAGCCAGAAGCGTTTGATAGAACTTTCAGTGACATATGCTAAAATCGTGCTTGCGCAAAGTTTTGGTAAGATCATTTTGCATAATCATTAATGTCTTGATATGTTTTCTTTTCGCTGTTTTATTTTTTGTATCTTTGGTGAGACAAAAGACGTTGCAATCTTTGGTGAGAGATAATCATGGCAATATTTGGTGAGAGACAGTCATGGCAATCTTTGGTAAGAGACAGTCATGGCAATCTTTGGTGAGAGACAATCATGACAATGTTTGGTGAGACAAAAACATGGCAATCTTTGGTGAAAACCAATCATGACAATCTTTGGTGAGAGACAATCATGGCAATCTTTGGTAAGAGACAATCATGACAATCTTTGGTGAGACAAAAACATGGCAATCTTTGGTGAGAGACAATCATGGCAATCTTTGGTGTGCGGCAATCATGGCAATCTTTGGTGAGAGACAATCATGGCAATCTTTGTGAGCGACAATCATGGCGATCTTTGGTGAGAGACAATCATGGCAATCTTTGGTGAGAGACAATCATGAAAATCTTTGGTGAGACGAAAATATGGCAATCTCTGGTGAGAGACAATCATGGTAATCTTTGGTAAGAGGGAATTTCAAACCAAAGATTGCCTCTCACCAAAGATTGTCATGATTGTCTCTCACCAAAGATTGCCACAATTATCTCTCACCAAAGATTGCCATGTTTTTGTCTCACCAAAGATACAAAAATAAAACAACAAAAATAAACATGTCAAGACAACGGAATGATTATGCAAAATGATCTTACTAAAACTTTGTGCAAGCACGATTTTAGCACATGTCACTGAAAGTTCTATCAAACGCTTATGGCTACAACGGCCTGTCTGATTTTTGGTGGAGAGATGGAGAAAAACATAGGGAACAAATCCTGAACTTTTAAAAAATTTTAACTCTATTAATTTTCGAGTTACAGCTATTCAAAGTTGAGTATCGTTTTTTTGGGACACCCTGTATAATATTATTGTAGAGTTGGCATTACGGAATAAGGACATTTTACGCCAGTATCCAAAGATGCGCAGAATGAACACGACTCCGAGATCACCAGCGAACTGGTAGATATTGCATGCTGATGGTTGGCGTTGGGCCCAGGGCCTGTTTACAAGTCAATTTTGTTATCCACGGCTGCGCTCCCCTGGCCGGGTGGATAGCTAGAGGTCAGCATAGCCCAAGTTCACAGTGCGATTCATATACCTTCCCGAGCGTAACGCAGCCGGGCATCTTCACGGCTTTTGACACAAAGCGCCCACCACAACAGCGCCGTTCAGTCACAGGCTTGCTTAGTTTACGGTGTTAAAATATTATGCAATAGAAGTGTCGGCACTGAATAAATAGGCCCATGGCCTGTTGCCAATTCATGTACTTTTTGTGACTTAATTCCACAATAAGGGATCAGGCCTTAGGAACCCGACATTTCCATAGCTGACGATAGTTTGAGAAAACTCCTGGACTTATTGCAAAGCCCGTAAGGTGCTAGGCATTTTAAGACTGAACATATGCTCCTGCATAGCTTCGTATAGTCTGTTCATGTAGGCGTTCTTACTCGGAGCGTCAACGATGCTATCAGTGAGGCTGTTCCACATGTCGGTGACCCCAAGTGAGAAGAAATGTTGTCGCGTGGATATATTTTAACGCATTTTTCTTAGTTTATAGCCGTGGTCCCTGGTGTTGGTTAGTGTTTCAAATTCTAGTAATCGCCTTCTGGGACCTTGTATAAACTATGAGTATACTTGTATACTTCAATGAGGTCACCACACGGACGTCGATAACTGAGGCTTGTAAGCTCCATAATCTTTTACCTTTTTTCATAAGACTTGCCTTTTGATCTCGGAATTATCCTCGTTGCAAGTCTTTAAACATTCTCGACTAAATTGTTGTCCTTTCCTAGTTTCGGTGACCTTTTGCATCTATGTACTCGTAGGAGCGTCTGATCAGTCCAAGTCGTTTATTGGCACTATTAACTTGAGCTTCCATATTATTAGAAATTTCGACTCATTGTCGACATAAACTCCCAAATCTTTTTCCATTGTCGACTTCGACACCATCACTCTGTCGTTGCAACCGTGTCTTCTCATACTGTAATCTTGCTGTTCATTGTTCTTGCAAGGTGGATTACTTTATAGGTGTCAAAGTTATAACGCAGCTGCCACGTATCAGCCCAGTCAACTAACCTGTCAAGATCACCTTGCAACTGTACTTTTTGCGACGTATTCTTCACTGTATTATCGATTTTTGTGTCGTCAGTAGATATCGAGTACACGCTAGACAAACTCCGGCAGATCGTTTATAAACGCAACGAATAAAACAGGTCCGTGAACGCTTCCGTGGGGCACGCCGCTGCGCACTGAAGCTCTGCTCAAAATTTCGAGAAAATAATGCCCTTTTTAAGTAAATGGTCAATATATGTCAAATTTTGATTTTAATTTTTTAACACGAGAATTTAGCCGAAGCGATAATTATTCTAGCTCAAAAGTTAGAGAAAAAAATGACCCTTTTTAGTGCATTGACTATGTATATTTAATTCTAATATTTCTTTTGACTCGCAAATTCGCCAAAACGCACATTATTTTAGCTCGAAATTTGCAGAGAATAATGCTCTTCTCAAATAAATCAACTATGTATATTTAATTTTGATCTTTAATATATTTAATTCGTAAATTTAGCCAAAACGCACTTTATTTTAGCACAAAATTTAGAGAAAATAATGCCCTTTTTAAGTAAATTGAGTATTCATTTTTAATCTTGATTTTAATATTTTTAACACGCAAATTTAGGTAAAACGCACAGGTTTTTAGCTCAAAATTTACAAAACATAAAGCCATTTTAAATTAAATTGACTATGTATTTTTGATTTTAATACTTATGACACAAAAATTTTGCCAAAACGCACATCTTTTAGCTCAATATCTAGATAAAATTATGCCCATTCTAAGACTATATGGTGGTTGCCCTGTGTGCTGTGATTGATCATGTTGCAGCATGTGGGTGGCCTGTACAAGATGACCATCACCAAGAAGATGCTGCTTGCAGCTCCCAGTACCAAAACAGCCTAAAATAATTATTTGGCAGAAGAGAAAGAGCAGAATGCAAAGTCCCAGAAAACCCTGAAGAGGAAGGCTCTGTTGGATGAGCTAGATGAACTAAAGAAGAAGAAAAGGGGTATGGAGGAGGACATTAAGGTGCTAGAGCCAGCAACAGATGATTATGCAGAATCAATGGAGAGAAATGGGGATTTGAAAATTATCGCCACGTTCAACATCGTGAAGCAATCTTTAAAAACAAAGCTAGACACTCTTGAACTGAACATTAAAGAAGAAGTTGATGAAATAGCTGCCAGTTGAATGTTAGGGTAAAAACTTAATAGCAAAGAAAACTCCACAAAAATTCATAGTATTTTTAAAGAAAACGTTTCGGAGTCCAGCTCCATCGTCAGTTCGAAAATTCTAGAACACAGTGTTTGAAAACGGCCATTAGATTTAGTAATATTGCAATCGAGGAAGGACAGGCTATTGTTAGATTCCAGTTCCATAGTAAATTTGATGGATTTATGTTGCGAACAGAAACATAAATATAAACATAAAAGGTTGTGAACAGAAACTTCACAACCTCGGAATCCACAACGAAATTCATCCTGTCAACCCAGATAAGGTCGTTTTTAACTATAGTTCCTTCAGCCTGGGACCCCGCGCCAAATTTTTGTTAGCTTTTGGCCTTGTTTTTTGTCTGCCCATTTTTAAGTTAGACTATTATAAATTTTTTTTAGCCTTTGAAAGACTTGCTTTGAGCATAAAGAATGTTTCAATCCCCAACCGACCTGAATTTCTTGGGGAGCTGCAAAGCTTAGCCTACCGTCATTTTTATGGATTCAAGTCATATAAATTTTTTCTTCTGTATTCAAACCCCGTGACACTCTTTTATTAAAAGATTTGGCCAAAAATAGAGACCTGATCATTTGTAGACCTGATAAAGGCAGGGGGGTTGTATTGGTCGATCGTAGCCGGTACAACAGTAGCCTCACTGAACTTATAACCGATACTTCTAAATTCGTTGAAATTACAGACCCAATTTCTAAAACAATTTTGAAATTGAAGACAAAATTAAGAACTTCTTGCGAAAACTTAAAGATTCTTCTGCCTTTTCACCGGAAGCGTATTCTAAACTTTACACATCTGGTTCATGTCCTGGTATTTTATATGGTTTGCCCAAAATTCATAAATCCGATTTTGCCACTAAGTTTCAATTCCTGCCAATTTTTGCCGCTTACAATACGCCTAGTTTTAAACTTGCTAAGTTTTTGGTACCTGTTTTAAACTGTCTCACGACTAATAAGTATACTGTAGACAATTCTTATACGTTTGTGGACCGCTTAAAGGATTTTACCAACGTTCAGGACCTAACTATGGCCTCTTTTGATGTGGAAAATTTATTTACTAATGTGCCTCTTCATGAAACCATAGATATATGCCTGAATTCTTTGTTTAAGGATGTAAATGACCTCGTTATGGGTTTGAAACGTAATTTTTTTTAAATCTCTTTTGGAATTATCTGTTTTAACCCTAGAAAGATCAACAAAAATATATAGCGTTGTAGACCAACCGGGTCGTGTAGGCCCGATCCCTATTTTTTGCAAGGGCTCTGTTTTATCTCTAATGTTTTCTATATAAAAGGTCTTTTAAGTGTTAAATACTGAGAATATATGTTTTGAAGCATTTAGGATAATTACTAAATAAAAAAATCTTCCTTTTATTGAAAATATTCCTTTGTTCTAAGACTTAGAGCATGGTGTATCCGTTTTCTTTGTGTTACATACTAATACATACAATAAAGCATTCTCTATTGCTGGCAATATTCTAATGAAATGCACGCAAAATAGAGATAGATGAAAATATTAACCCATTCTATATGAAAAGAATAAGAAAGCATTATATTATTATCTTATTTTTTGCACTGAAGACATATATTGACGCTGTGTTCACCACAAATGCTCTGTTGACAGTCTTCGCAGTATATCTTAGATTTCCTGTCCTTTTTCGAAGGGCACAAGTAACATCTCTTTCTCTTGTTCGTATTTTCTGAGGCAACACTCGTTGGATGAAACAGGTTTCTGAAGAGGGGGGTTGTTATTAGCTGTTACTCCTGCAAGTGATTTCGCTAACGCAATAAGCAGAGCACGGGGGACACCTTTCTTGCATTGCGGGAAGTTTGATCCATATAATTATGGCATTCATTGCGCTTATATCTATCATGTTGAAGAAGACAACCATTGGCCATCTACGAGTCATTCGTTTGGTACTATAGTATCGAACCATCTGATCCATGGTATCTACTCCTTCTTTTGTAGAATTATAGTACTGAATTATTTCTGGTTTGGTTTCACCGGGTGACTCGATACCTTTGTAATTGTGCATTGTACTTAGCAAGGTGACAACTTTATTTTTCTTTAGGCAATAGGAAACAATTGTTGAATCTCTTTGAAAGCCATACATGCTACTGAAAAGCTTTCTACCTTTAGTGACCGTAAAAGCAGTCGGCAATTCCGTTCGATTTTTTCTTATTGTTCCAACTAGTGTCAGCTTTCTTCCCAGCAATTCTCGTCTTAATTGTAGACTAGTGAAAAAGTTGTCACAGGTGATATTTCTACCACTGTTTTTGTCGGAATCAGATAGATTTAGTACAACAGTAGTTCCCAAATTTGAAGCTCTTTGTTCGCTGGGCTCTTTGCCTTTGTAAATGTCCAATTTCAATGCATAACTTGTTTCACTGTTGCAAATTACCCATAATTTGATTCCGTACTTTCCAGGCTTTTATGGGATGTATTGACGGAAAGGACATCTACCTCGAAACGGTAGTAGTTGTTCATCAACAGTCAAGTTTACACCCGGGATAAAGGCATCTTGCAATGTGCTGTTCCACAAGCACAAGTCAAATATCTTTCGTATTGGTTGCAATTTATCTGGTGACCTGTTTTGCCTCCTCTCACAAGCGTTATCGAATCTCATCATGCGCAAAATCTCTTGAAACCTGTTTTGTGCAAAAATTGCATTGAAGATTGGTCGTCAAATGACGTCCATCATCCTTACTCCATAATTGATGAACTGGTTCTCCTTTAGATTTGTAAACTCCAATGAGCAGAAGAGTTGCAATAAATTTCTTGAGTTCTTCAATATCTAGTTGCTTTCACCTATCTTTGAGTATCAAGTCTCCTTCAATATTCGTAAATGTGGTCAACTGGTCAGGATTCACAACAACAACGGGACTCCGCAGACCGCAGCGCTTGTATCACTTAGGGGCCTCGGAGGTCCGCTTGCCGGCGCTTGGTAAAATATGATGTAACGCTAAAAATATAAAAAAATACTGCATTATTTTCAACAATTTTTGTATAGAGGTTACATAACTTACATATGTACTACGCAAATAAAGTCATGTAGTTTCGGCGTAATAAGTTTACAAGTTTCTAAAATATAGATTAATATTTCTTTGAAACGGGCCTACGAGGCCCGCTGGTCGTTCTAGGGTTAAACTCTTCTTTCATATTCGCTAACAACTAACAAGTTGTACCAACAGACTGACGGTTTGGGCATGGGTCTTCCGCTCGGCCCAACCTTTGCGAATATTTTTATGTGTTTTCACGAGGTTTCCTGGCTGTCCAATTGCCCTCTTGAATTTCAGCCAATATTCTACAACAGATGCGTTGATGACACTTTTTTACTTTTTAAGCATCCTTCTCACGTTAAACTATTTTTCGATTACTTAAATTCGCAACATAAATCCATCAAATTTACTATGGAACTGGAATCTAACAATAGCCTGTCCTTCCTCGATTGCAATATTACTAAATCTAATGGCTGTTTTCAAACTTCTGTATTCCGAAAATCAACTTTCACAGGCCTCAGTACCAGCTTTTTTAGCTTTTGCTCGTTTCGATTTAAGATTAATGGGATTCAAACACCTTTACATCGAGGTTTTCGTATTTGTTCTACTTACAATATTCTGCACGCCGAATTCGAATTTTTACGCAATATATTTTTGCTTAATGGATTTCCGACTAATCTGGTGTTTACCCAAATAAAGAAATTCATGTCCAAGCGGTACCGTGAGGTTGCTCCCGAGCGCGACAATAGGGATGTTGTTTATTGCTCTCTTCCATATTTCGGCCCTGCATCCGATGATCCGAAACTATGTCAAGAGAGCTAAAACTTTTATTTTCTAAGTATTTCGCAACTGTTAATCTTCGTGTCATATTGGTCAACCATTTTAAAATCGGTTCTTTTTTTAGGTACAAAGATACTCTCCCTGTGCATATTGATATGCGAGCGTCCCTTGTCTATAAATATAGTTGTGCACAATGTGCATTTGCGTACGTCGGGATGACGTCTCGCAATCTTTATTCTAGGGTCGCAGAACATAGGGGCAGGAGTTGTAGAACTGGTAACTTACTGTCGCGCCCACCTCATTTGGCTGTGCGGGTTCACGCCGAGCAGTGCGATGTTCCAGTTTCTGACAGTGACTTCAAAGTTTTAGCTTCCAGTTCCGGTGTTTCTGATTTGCACATTTTAGAATCATTGTACATTTTTAAACAGAGGCCTAGTTTGAATTTAGCTTTTAGCTCTTACCCGCTTGAAATTGTAAATACAGCAATCCCTTGATTAGCACGGTTTTGAATACCGCGGAAAAAAAATTTGCGACCTACCCTTAATCTACGCGGTGCCAGTTTTGATTAGCGCAACTTTTTTTTCACAACGCATCATTTTCCCGCCTCTAGCCAGAGGCATAGTGGCAAAGCAGAGATTTTTTTAGACTCTCCCTTAAGTTCATTTGTGAGTCCTATAAGTAGACCAGTAAAGTATCCTGGATACCAGCAGTATCATACATAAGGAATTTATTTAAATCTTGGGTAAATGAGGAAATTAAAAATGAACTGATTCTAAGAAAGCTGTGGTTTGCCACTATGGCCAGAGGTGTTACGTTCGTAACAAAAGTGTTACTTTTTGCTTATTAGATCTTATGTTGTTACTTTTGTTACAACTTTTGGAAAAATTCGCCAACTGTTGTTACTTTATGAATTTCAGTCAATAATTCTTTAAATAAGGTCCCGTTCCATAGGCACTCGTGCTGACAAGTCGGTTTAACCGCGCCTTGTCTCGTTCATAACTCGAATGATCGAGTTCGGCACATTCGCCGGTAAGTGCGCCATGCCGGTGCTCTAGCCCTTTAAGCCCTGGTGTGACGAATTCGTCACACAGAAAATAAAAGCTTCTACCGAGAGTAATTACATGTTTGGAGTCTAACCGCGAGTGTGACGGTAGCGTCACATGTTGTGAACTCGTTCGAACGACGTTCGATGGAGTAGGCGCGCCGCTACTGCCAGTACAACACAAAGACTGCACGTGATCTGAAAAGTAATTCAGATTGTTTTTTTCACTTTTGAAACATAATTCAGTGCGTAAAGGGCTAGTTACTTAGGATTCATTATAATTATTCCCATATATTCTTAAGTTTGATTAGCGCGGTTTTGCTTAACACGGTAAAACTCGGGGATTTATTAACCGCGTTAATCAAGGGATTGCTGTAGGTAGGTTTTGCAGCTTAGGATTTTCATTGTATTCTTGACTGTACTAATCACTGATTTATCTGTGCTCTAGAATTTTTGAACTGACGATGGAGCTGGACTCTGAAACGTTTTCTTTAAAAATACTATGAATTTTTGTGGAGTTTTCTTTGCTATTAAGTTTTTAGTGAATTTGCAATTCAAGCAAACGAGTGATAATGTTAGGGTAGTGGCATTGAAGAGTGTTCTGAACTGTATTGATATTATCATGTACAATCTTGTGTGAATTTCTCAATGCAGTATTTGTTGTGATTTGACACTATTGAATTCATAATATTACCAGTGTGGGCTTGATTTTCAGATACCGGTACCTATGTGTCATTTTTGTTCCTCAGTGTCAGCCTGCTCTATGCATTTTTGCGTTTGCTATTTAACTGTAGGAGATGATGGCATTTGCATGGTTAATCTTTTAGTCATGCTAAACCTGTCATCTATGAATCTTGGCAAATTATATTGATGTCATGGAGAGTCATGGAAAAGTCATGGAATTATTTTTCTAAATACAGGTATGCACCATCACTATCAAACATCTATATAATCTAGAGTGGTGATATAGAATATAATATAGAATAATCTCAAACCATCATATATCTAAATAATCTAGAGTGGTGATCCAGAGTATAATCTAGAATAATCTCAAACTATCAAACACTTGAATAATCTAGAGTGGTGCATGCTGTCCCCAGGACTCAATGCTGCACTCAAAGTTTGCTACACTGACTCCTTAACTCTAAAAAATGCCAGTGTATTGCATACAAACTGGTTCTTTCTCTAACATCCAAAAATGTCTTCACAGATTGGTCACCAACACTTGAGTTGCTTTCAATTACAACTTGGACTTTCTTCCTATTAAACAATTTTTGATCACTAATAAGCTTCAGTTTAAATTGGCACCTGAAAAATTTAATGAGTATCATAATGAATAAAATGAAGGCATGTAGTGCTGTGGTGCACAATGTCTCTGATGATGCAGTCAACAGCAGCTGGCACGCTGAGCTGAACTCCCAAATGTCTTCTCAATCTTGCAAAGTTGAGTCTGATGGTGAGCTGCAGTCTTAAGGGATTCACCTATTGCTGACAATTGTGTAAAATTGAAAATCATATTCTTGTGATGATTGAATTAAAGTTACCTAGTTTATTAACTTGAAGATATTGCTTTAAATTTTGTGGAAGCAGTGACACATTGTTTGTCATCTGTAACTGTGTTTATGTCTCATATTCAAGTTTATTCATGATCTTGATCTATGTAAATTTATTCAGCAACAGAGGCCAGTGGCTCATCTCCTCTGGAAATGGTGGCAGTTTACATCAAGGATGAGCCTGAAGATGGGAAAGAGGACATAGCTGTGAAGGAGGAACCAATAGATAGTAATGTAATTGATAGTAATTTATCATTTACATTAACTCTTTAGTGACTGACATCCTGCTCAATGTTTTACCATATAACTTGCATACAGCACAACATTTGAGGCACTGCTAACTACGAAGACATATAAGAGATACTCTTGCACCAAAATAAGAAACACTCTTGCAACAAAATAAGAAACACTCATACTATACACCAAAATAAGAAACAATCGTGCACCAAGATATGAAACACTCTAGCACCAAAATAAGAAATACTTGTGTACCAAAATAAGAAACACTCTTGCACCAAAGAAAGCAACACTCTTGCACCAAAGTAAACAACACTCTTGCACCAAAATAAGAAACACTCTTGCACCAAAATAAGAAACACTTTTGCACCAAAGTAAGCAACACTCTTGCACACCAAAATAAGAAACACTTTTGCAATAAGATAAACACCAAAACAAGAAAAGTTCTTGCACCAAAATAAGAAACACTCTTGCAATAAGATAAGCACCAAAACTAGAAAAGTTCTTGCACCAAAATAAGAAACACTTGCACAAAAATAAGAAACACTCATGCATCAAAATAAGAAACACTTGTGCACCAAAATAAGAAACAGTCTTGAATTGAAATAAGAAACACTTTCACCAAAATAAGAAACACTCATGCACCAAAATAAGAAACAATTTTGCACTCTTGACTGATGGATACCGGTACACTGCTTTTTGTTTTTTTGCTCATTGTATTTATCAGGTAACTGCACGATGAACTGTTACTATTTTTGGTATGTTTGTGGCTGAGGTATTAGTAAGTGGACAGATGTGTATTTTATCAAATGTAATGTAGGTACCTACAATGATTTATTATACATTAATGTGAGTGGGACTAATACATCTCTCTGGTTGAGGCAGGACTGAGATGTCCCAGTGGTATGAGGTTGCAACGTTAGGCAATGCTATGAACTCGATCATCTCATTTTGTTGTATTTTATATTGCTTTTTGATTGACAACAGTCAGCATATGTGTTTTAGTGACATATATTCTGAATTTTCTCATTTATTTGCATTTTATATTTCTTGACCTAGATATGTTAGTTTATGTATTTCAGTGACATACCGTACTCGCACAGAAAAATTTAATTTTCTTGAATTAAATTTTATGATAACACACAGTATATGCACTTCAGTTATAAATCTTATATGATGATTTTTGTTTGGTTTAGTTTTATAACTTTTCATGGTTTGAGAGTGTTTTCTTTTCAGGTAAATAGGACAAGGAGGTACCTAACTAAGGAGGAGATTGCATCACTCTTGGAAGAAATTGAAAGTGATTTCAGCTCTAATACTGATATTGAGAGTGACCATGAGCCTACAAAGAACAGTGCAGTGTTTTCTCATGATCAAGCAGCCTCATCTGACGATGATGAACAATTTGTGATACAGATCACTTCTGAAGAAAATGCCACTGATAGCTGCATCTCAACATCACAAGATGAACCTAATCTGAGCAGAAATGTCAGAAGAAAATGGAGAAAAAAAGCTGAGAAAGCTAGCAACATTGAGTTTATTGACTACAAGGAAAATTACAAGGACATTTTATCACCTCTTGATTCTTTTTTATTGTTTTTTGATGATGATTTGCTCAATAAAATTAATTATGAAACCAATCTGAAATGCTCTCAGGCAGGAAAGGCTGCAGATATATCTGTTGATGAAATAAAAACATTCCTTGGCATCAATATAGTAATGGGATACAACAGATGTCCAACAATTAATTCTTACTGGATGACTGGAGATGACATTGGAGTACAGTGCATAAAAGAAGCCATGTCAAGAGACAGGTTCTACAAAATACTGCACCACCTTCATCTCAATGACAACAGCAAGATGAACAGAAGCAAGGCAGACAAACTTTACAAAGTAAGGCCATTATTGAAAATCTTGAAGCAGAAGTTTGAAGTCATGAGAGGCCCACAAGAACATCTATCAGTTGGCAAATTGATTATAAAGTTCAAGGGAAGAAGCAGCCTGAAGCAGTACAATCCACTAAAGCCAATCAAAAGAGGCTACAAAGTCTGGTGTTTAGCTGATGATGAGGGCTATGTGTATGACTTTGATATTTATGCTGGAAAAAGTACTTCACAAATTCCCTGCAGAGGAGCTTCACTGGGACTTGAAGCTGATGTTGTCCTAAAGTTGACTGAGAAATTGCATGGCAAGAATCATAAAGTATTCTTAGGCAATTTTTTCTCATCAATACCATTATTGGAGACAATGAAGGCGAACAAGATTCAAGCATGTGGAACAATAAGGACTAACAGAAAAGATTTTCCACATCTTGAATCAGATAAAAAATTGACCAGAGGTAAGTATGACTATCGATCTACGACTGATGGAATAACTGTTTTCAAGTGGATGGACTCAAAAGCAGTTCATCTGATTTCAAACTTTCATGGAACTGAAAACTCGACAGTTTCCCATAAGCTAAAAAATGGTCAAAAAATAATTGTGAAATGTCCTCTTGCCATCAAAGACTACAATGAACACATGGGAGGGGTCGAGAGGCATGACCAACTACGTCAACTGTATGGCATCAAGAGGAAAAACATCAAATGGTGGCATTGCATCTTCTTTGGATTGCTTGACATGGCCATAGTCAATTCATTCATACTGTATAGAGATGCTGGACACCCAACGATTGATCTCCTGGATTACCGAAGAGAACTAGGCACTGGACTCCTGACATTTTCAACAAAGCCAAAAACAAGCTGCAAGAGACGTAGAAAGAGTGACTTCTCGACTCCAGCTTCAGTGAGATTGTCCAATGTAGGAGTACATTGGCCTCAGTTCAATGTGTCCAGGGGCAGGTGCCAAGTGTGCTCGAAGAAGGGAGAAGAAGCAAGACCTGCCGTAGAATGTGAACACTGCAAAGTGCATCTCTGCTGCAACTCCGCAAGAAACTGCTTCAAAGAGTTTCATCAGTGATAGACTTTCTGTATTGATAATAAGGACTAATGCTTGTAGCATTTGAAGTGTACGGTACAGGATGTAATGCATGCTTGTAGTACATCACGTAAAGACCATAAATTATAGTAAAGAAATTGCTACTTATGTAGCTATTGTTAACTCAGAAAGAATATATTTTACCTGGTTATTGTGATAAGCTAATTATTTTCTTCTGTTTATTGTGATAGATATGGCATTATATGCTACTGCACACGTTTGCCAAAGGAACTTTGTGGTACCAACGTACCATTCAACTATAACATATATATATTAGCTTAATATTTTTTCTCACAAAATTAGTATTTTTCACAATAAATATACTGGTGATAATGATGCATTTCTATGATTTCTAGCTCCAAATTTGCCTGTAGGGCCAAGCATTGAATGTAAAAGATACATTTCAGCAAATAACGGCAACAGAAGTGTAGCTACTGCAGCTCAATGTTGCAAAATCTTGTCACTTTAGCTGCAACCATTCACTACCAGGACTCTCTAGTGCCATAGAATTTTCATTGAATTTTCACCATAAACATATACCTATTTAATTTTTTTGTACAAATATGTGAAAAAAAAATCAGTCATAATTTGCCATAAAAAAATGTTCAGTCCGAATTTACTGGGGTTCTGTATAAAAATTTCATTAAAAAGTTGTAAAACACATGGCAGTTATGAAGGGTTAATAAAATGTCAAGCGCAAATTCACATACCAATTTTTGTACCCTGGGAATTGGTTCTCTGCTTAGGCAAATTAGCTCCTAAAGCTTGAGGAATTTTTTCCCTCAAATTTGTGTGAGATTATCCTGCAAATAAAGTTTGAAACTGGTAATTAGTGTCTGGAATTGGTACATTCAAGCTTTAGAATTGAATATAATTATAAAAATGTTCATATTCTTCAATGAATTAATGCATTGCATTATATACCATGTGCAAATATATTTTTTTGCTTTTTCTATGTACGTATTAATTGTGCATGTTTTAAATTAGTCAACGGTAATTCTGTTCATTACTGATTCTGTTTGCCAGCAAGCAAGTAAAGATCTTGTCATAGAAAAGCTATTTATTATTTGATGATCAGCAGTGCATTGCAATATGAGTTCTGTGCCAGCCAGTGAAGTTAGACCTTTTCACATGGGGCAGTAAATACCTCATGCTTCAAAAAGTGCAATTGTATTTACCGGCTAACCTTGGTGGACATACAAAATATACACCGCTAAACACACACAACAGATTTTAACGCAGCGTTGAATTTGATGTATGCTGTAGTTGCCGCTCTGTGTGATAGGGGCCTTAGTCCTGATATACACATGCCAAGCATTGCCTGGTATAGGTATGGATTCTCATGAATGCCATGGAGTTGTTTGCTGTGTGTAGCTCATTCATGTCTAGTCCAATTGTGGTCCCAAACAAAGAACTTGTGATGAGATTAACTCAAGTTGAAAATTAACAACAGACTGGTGATTAAATTTTCATCTCTGATTGTATGTTAAGATGGTTGAAATAATTTTTTTATGTATCATATTTCAATGTAATATAAGTTTGTTTTCCTTTTTTTTTGTTTTTTAAGGCTAGTATACACAAATGGGTCAAATTTTAAGATATACTAATTTTGTAGCTTTTTTAAATTTTGAATTTTGAAGTACCAAATTGCAGATGAAGAATCTTTATAATACAGCCATGATGTCCAAAATATTTATAATTGTGTAAAATTTTCTAATTAATTCTGAAGATAACATATTAAACTTCATTAAAATCTCATTTGATAAAGTTACTAATATTAACTGAAGATATATTATTTCTTCTGCATTTACAAGCGCTAAAACAACTAAGATTTGGTTAAACATATTTTAATTCATATATCAATTTTTCGGTCCAGTAGAGGATTTGCTATGTATGGCAGGATGAGCAGATAAATGATGGTTAGTAAAATATGTTGTTCTCTAAATATTTTACATTTCTTTCCTCACAAACTGAGTATATTTACATAAACATTTCTAATACTGAGCATCCTGTCAGCCTTGACTGGTGAAGGAGGCAAGGGCAGCGTCTTGCTTTCCACTGCCTTTAGTTGGGCAGTTTAGATTCATTTGTTAGTCGCCTAAGTCACGGGTTTGCCTCTCGCGTGTCAGCGTCAAGTAAGACACCAGCTCATTATTTATTGCAGTAGATGAGGAAGTTGATTGTTGATGTTGTGGCATTCCATGCACTGAGTCTGAGCAACGTATTGTATGATGATATGATTGCTAAACATGGCCTAATGATTATCAGCTCATGACATATGACTTCTGTTATAGTGCTCTTGTGAAGTAATAAAATATATACTTACAATTTTTCAATAATCAATAATGCACAGAAAATTGTGAGCTTATGCAGAATCAAGGGACAGATGGTCTGTTTGAGGATGGTCTGTCTTGTAACACATCCATTCAACAACGTTTTTTTTAACATGTGGAACAGGCGAACAGCCTCCCTGATAGCATCGTTGACTCCCGAGTATGAACGCCTTCAAGAATAGACTAGACAAAGCAATGCAGGAGCATATGCTAATTCAGTCTTAAAATATCTAGCACCTACGGACCTAATTCCAGCAGCTATGTATTTCAAACGATCGTCAGTTATGGAAAGATCGGGTTCAAAAGGCCGGATCCCTTGTGAATCAAGTCACGAAACGTACAAGAATTGGCAACAGGTCATGACCCCATATCTTTAGTGGCGAGAGTTCTGTAAGAGACCTTCAGTTCTATCTTCAGAAGAGACCAGTGAAGCTTTCGTGGGAATCGCCTGAAAATTTGATTTCAAAGAACAAATGCATTGGTTATTACTTATCTATTATAAGTCACGTATCTGCGCGGTATTTCAGGTTTCATAAGGAGTGAAGTACTCTTGAAGTTAGATCATTTATATATAAAACAGCATTATATGTCTTGTAAATCTTTTATCACTGGAAAACAGGCTATGCCTGCATTATTCAAAGATTGTTTGTTTGGGGCCTCTCATGGGGCATTAAGAGACAACTTCAACACATGGTATAATGGATACATTTTCTTTCAGCCTCTACACAAATGTGTATGTGGCCGGTTACTCAGTGTTTGCTATTGGCATATCAGTACGTTGACTTTCAAGTATGCAATGTTTCATCCCTTAATCTTTGCTGAGCCTGAGGATGGTCTGATGCTGAGGCTTCCTTTTTGATTTTTGCAATCTTTGAAACCCCAATGTAACTTCAAGTCACTGTGCGTCAGGACTGGACGTGTGTTCACTTTTCCATCCTCTTTTAACCTTACCATCAAACGCCAATTTGTCCTGCAGCAACTGAAGGCATCATCCACCGTGCGACCCAGCATACAACCCCGACATAATCAAGCTGTCAATACCGAGATGGATCAATATTAAATTTCTTACTAAAAAAATTGGTATTTGTTCAATTATGATGTAAAAAACAAAAAAAATTGTCATGTGGAGCTTCCATCTTCAAAAATGTATTATTTATTTCCATTTTCCTAACGAATATAAAGTTTTACTGATACATTCTTCGGAAATACGGTATTTATCGCAATTTTTACTTTTTTTTCAATTATCATATATTAAATGGGTTTCAAAAATATCTCCGTAGTATAAATCTTAAAAATACTTAATTTATTCAATACATTTGAGAAGCCAGAGGTCTATACTAGAAGACGGAACGCAAATAGACTGCACGCAGCGAGATTTACCATCGCTATGCTTCAGTATAAGTTGACTTGTACCGTCGCAGGAGTGCAAGGAACTGGCAGTTCTGACGACCCAGTTCTGACTGCAGGTTGAACATCCAGGGGTCATACTTTCAAAACTGGCTAAGTGAACGTAAGTACTTACGCTATATGTTCTTGTCTATGATTGGTGGCTTTGGCTTGAAATGCCGTCACTGATTGGCTGATGAACTTACGATCTCTTAACTTTTCTTGAAAGTATAGGCCCTGAACTTTTGTTCTGCAGCGCTATTTTCAAATAATGTCTGACATTTAACGGCTGGCAATTCTGTCCTTTTTTGTATTTTGAGCTATTAATTCTCAGGACGTAACAAAATTATACTGAAGCCATGAAATTTATTCATTTCACTTGTGCGCCTTGGTTGTATAAATTCAACAGGTGTGAGTTTAGACGTTTATGAAATGGTGGTCCCAATTGCCACCTGGGCTCGTATGAGCTTAATATAATTACACAGTCCCGTCAAACAGCCTCATCTTGTGGTCATTTTAGTTCTTTATTTAACTATCTTGTTAGACGAATTAGAGGACTTCAACTTCNTCAATTGTGTGGAATCGCTTAGATACATATATTTTCCGCTTGTGGAATAAGCATTCTTATCTGTGGAAAATCTAATGAATATGTTGTATCACTAAAAAAATTTATTTAAATACTAATTTTTTTATGTCAACGTGTGTAACGTCTTCATGTTGCTAAAGTCCACGGAAAACACACCAAATATTTAAGTTACTTTACCCGATCCCTGCAGAAACAAATAGCGAGTGCAATGCGACAAACGTCTCCGCTGCGTATAAAAAAAAACATTCAAGAACATTGTAACGCCATACAAGCCTTGAATTAGGATTCATTGCTATACAAACGTTAGTGTTTACGTTTCTATAGCCCCGTGCTTCCAGAAAAATGATTTTGAACGCGGATAGAAATATTTTTCTATAATATGCTCCATATAGTAGTGTATAAAAACAGCAGAATAAGGGATAAATAACCTTCATTGAGTGAATGAAACAATGCCCCACGGATTGTTGCATAGCTTGATAGTTTGCGACTAGCTTTAAAGTTTAATAAAAATGTTAGGAACTTTGATACACCACTTGTAGTTTTGGAAAAAAACACACAGGTTTTTAAGCTTATTCTGATAATTTTGAACCAATGCGTTTTTTGCTTTTCGTCATAGTGTTAAATTGATTGTCGTTCTGTGAAACTACTGCACGTGATTGCACATTGGAACTATTACACTTTTATGGCAACGCTTCCGCTTTTCAACACAGCCAACACAACACCTCCCTCAACACCCAGTAACGCAGCACAACCACAACAGACACGACCAACACAACACCTCCCCCAACGCCCAGTAACGCAGCACAGCCAACACAACACCTCCCCCAACACCCAGTAACGCAGCACAGCCACTGTCTCTTATACACATCTAGATGTGTATAAGAGACAGATGCTGAGGATTCCTTTTTGCAATCTTTTCGAAACCCCAATGTAACTTCAAGTCACTGTGCGTCAGGACTGGACGTGTGTTCACTTTTCCATCCTCTTTTAACCTTACCATCAAACGCCAATTTGCACTTTTTCCTGTCATAAATACGTCTTATTTCACTCGGAACAAACAATTTAAACACATGGTAGTTATTGCTTTTATTAAATTTATTACTATTATTGGTAGTTATTGCTTTTATTAAATTGAACAATTCTAAATAAATAGATCACCTTGCATGTGAATTGTATTCTGCCACTCATTCCTGCACAAATCGAACGCTTCTTCGATGCAATACTGATTCACTCTTTAATGTTTTCTCCTTGA